TTTCCCTTGGTCAAGTATGCAACAGGTCTACCTCCCTAACCTCGACTAGCATCTCAATCCTGGGTTGACGCCAGTGTTCCCAGGTGCATCTCTTGAAACAGTCGACGTTTAAGTATTGAGGGACCGAGTGGGCCGGTTCTGCCTAGCATGGTGCTCTTCTCTGTAAACTGCTGGATTTGAACACCATGGGTGTGAGCCTAGTGGAGAAAAGCACCAGGGGTATCCATGGTCTCCAGTTCAGTCTCACTGTGCTGACTTAGATCCACTTGCCTCCTAGGGTCCATCTGAGTTCCTAGTGGTGATACACAACAGAGACCCCAGTTAGAACTTGAAGGTCTGTGGGTGTTTGGTTTTCACTGAGAGTGCTTAGGGGGTACTTGGATTAAATGACAGGGGTACCATTGCCTAGCATGGAGGTTTTTGTAGGTGGAAGCTGGGTCCTCTCTTCCTACACATATCACACTGGGTTGAGTTGTCCTTTGCCTCCCCCAGGTTGCTGTTTCTCAGGTACATATTTCTTTTCTTTGTGAACTCCAGGCCTCTGCTTCCAATCTCCTAACGGGACCTCAGTTAGATGCTAGAAAGGACTTTTCAAGTAAGATGCAAGATGCATATGGAGAATGCCTTAAAGAAGGGAGTGGAGCATCTTCTTCCCAAGAGATTTGTGTTTCCCCGCCTCACTGTTTCTCAGGTACATATTTCTTTTCTTTTCTTTGTGAACTCCTGGCCTCTGCTTCCAATCTCCTAACGGGACCTCAGTTAGATGCTAGAAAGGACTTTTCAAGTAAGAAGCAAGATGCATATGGAGAATGCCTTAAAGAAGGGAGTGGTGCATCTTCTTCCCAAGAGATTTGTGTTTCCCCGCCTCCTGTCTGTTGTGGTCTGATGGTGATGACACTGAGCGGGAGGGTAGAGAAGGGGACTGTCATCAGCTTCGCTTCCAACTGTAGGGCTTTGTGATTTACTTTTCCCACTTGTAAAATGTAGACGAATAGTTGCTGTGCCACTTGGATGAAAGGCGAGAAGAGTTATGTAGTGCATGGTAAATTCAGCTTGATATCAACTAACTGAATCAACAGAGATTTATTGAGACACAGTGCTAGGCACTAGAGGTATAACAACAATTTTTTAGAGGGCCTCCATTTATTTTTCTTTTATTACCAGAAGGCATAGTACTTGAGAGAGAGAGAGAGAGAGAGAAATGCCACTGGAGCATGATCATGCTGCAGTCCTCTTTCCTCCATTTCTCCACCCTGTCAGGATTCGCGGCATGCACGCCTGCACACACGTGCACCTGGTATGTGTATGAAGTCACTGGGGCTGAGATTTGGAGTGCAGTCAGTCATGTGGAGTTGCTCCTTATGCTTAGGACTCAACTGCTACACTGTAGGGCTTGCCCACCCTCTACCCCCACCCCATCTTCAAGTTGCTCAATAGCCACAAACAGGGCTATTGATGTTGTCTGCAAGGCATGGAGCTTTGTCACTGGGGATGGAGGAGGTGGTTTGAACTGTTTCATCCTTGAGAAGAACCAGAATTGCAATCCTGGTCACTCCTGTGGCCTGGCACCATGTGGAAGTGCCCTTTCTGTTGTGGACCCTCTCCTGGTCCATCGGTCTGGGCTGCAGAACTGATACAGAGCAGAACCTTTTGACCTTTGATGGGGTTGGGAGGCTGAGGCTGGGACCCAGAGCCTTATCCAGCAGGTCCCTTCACGCTGATTCCTTCTGTTTCATTGTTTCACAGGGTCTTTTCGGAATGATGGTTTGAAAGCTTCCGATGTCCTTCCCATCCTAAAGGAAAAAGTGGCCTTTGTGTCTGGTGAGTATTTGTGGAACTTTCTTCTGTAGCAGACCTAGACAAGTTGTGTGTGTGCACGTGGCTCAGATGTTCACTTTGTATTTGAGTGAGCGAGGAGTGGGGAAGGGAAGTTACACTCGGAGCAGCTGCTTCCTTTTCACAGAGGCAGACAGAAATGTGAGCTCTGGTCCCAGCTGGCTGTTCTGCATACTCAAAACCACCAGGGAGTTCCCCCACACACCTCGCACAGGTATATCCTGGGGTATATCCTGCCTGTTTGGGAGCTACAGAGGCACCTGTGAGCGATGCTCCAGCTGACAGAGTGTGCCCACTTCACACATCCCTGAGGTCTTGTTTGGGCTCATTTATGGCTGAGTTCTAGGGAAGAGATCAATTTTTGTTGTAGTTGGTCATTAGCTCTCCTTCTTGGCAAAAGGAACTCAAGTGAGTTTTTGTATTTAGGGGTTTTTATTTTTTTCTGAATAGAGACTTCCAAATATTTATCCCCAACTACTCTCTCTGACCCATCTTCTGAACCTGGACCTCTTAACATCTGTTGAGGGGTCAGCAATTTACTAGCCACTGGTTTTTGTAAACAAAGACTTCTCAGAACACAGCCATGTGTATTTGTTTAGGTCGTATGTTAGTTACCCGTTGACATTAACATATTACCACAAAGATGGCTTACAACCACAGAAGTGTGCTCTCTCACAGTTCTGGAGGTCAGAGATCACTTTCACGGGGCTGACATCACAGTTTAAGCAGGGCTGTGCTCCCTCGAGAGGCTCCTGAGGAAAAGCTTCTGATGGCTGCTAACATTCCTAGGCTGGGGGATGCCTCACCTCCATCTCTACCTTTGTAGTCACATTGCCTTTTTTTTTTTTTTTTTTGTTTGTGTCCAGTCTCCCTCTGCCTCTCATTTAAGGCTAGCTGTGACTGCATTTAGGGCCCACCCAGATAACCTGAGATAATCTCCCCCTCTCAGGATGGTTAACGTAATCACATTTGCAAAGCCATAGCCCCGTAAGGTAACATTTACAGATTCCAGGGGTAAGGACCCAGTATGTTTGGGGACCTATTCAGCCCAGTACAGATCATGTCAATGGCTGTTCTCTGGCTACCATAGCAGAGTTGAGTAGTGACAGCAGTGGCCAGATGGTCCATGGGCCCAAGACATTTATTGTCTGACCCTTTAAGAAAAAGTTTGGTGATCCCTGATGTAACTGAATCCTGTGACTGTCCAGATCCCCAGGATAGCCATTCTCAAACAAGGTGCACCAGAATCATTTGGACCCTTTCAAGGTTCTAATTAGGCCTCTGGATCAGAATCTCTGGCCAGGTCTGAGATAGGGCTGGGATAATGGCCATATGTGCAGCTAAAGATCACACTTTGGGAAACATGCCTATATGCTTATGGCTCTGGACTGCACCTTTATTTCTGGATGATTTTCGCTGTCTACAAGGAATGGTGGTGGAGTCATAGGACAAGAGTCAGTTCAGTCCCGGGAACCAGCAGTTAGCATAATGGCTATGTTGCTGGACTCCCACGTAGTTGACTGCGGTTCGCGTCCCAGACCCAGTGGCTTAAAACTCACGCTGGACGTGTGTGTGTGCGTGCCCAAGATCCTGAGAGGAGAATGGAGGAGAAGGGATTGTGGCGTGGCCATCCCCCCTGGGGGGTGATTTCTCACTTTCTGTCTCTATGTCTCTGTCTGTCTGTCTGGCGAGCGCACGCGCCCTATAGCAAAAAACCTCTCCAAAAAAAAAAAAAAAGTCAGTTCAATCCCGTAGTGCAGGCACTTCTGTCCTGGCTGATGGGTGACAGCCAACATGGTGGACGGGGGAGCTAGCTGGGGAAAGGGTTACCCAAGTAGCAGTTGTTTCCCACTTCATCAGAGAGAAAACAAGAGACCAGTGATTCAGAGCGTGGGTGTGAGAGGTAAGGGCATACATGTTGTGGGTGTATGCAGATGGTTTTATAAAGTATGAAGTGTGTTCTATATTATTATAATAATTAGTAGTAGGATAGTGATAGTATTTTATTATTGTTGTTCTGTTAGACAAGAGTGATTAGGCAGTTGCCTTTCTCTGTTAGTGTTAGGGGCCTGTTTATCTCATCTTCCTGTCACTGAAGATACTGAAGCATGGATTGAACAGCCTCTAGCCAGGATCATGAAGCAGTGATTCAGTATGGGTAGAGGCATAGGTAACACAGCTTTTAAGTTCTGTAATTGGGATTCTGCGTGCTTGCTGAGAGTATACAAAGACCATGGGACACTGGGGAGTACCAGGCCTCTGACTTCTACTGTTCTGTAGGCTAGGTTCACAAGGGCATGTCCTACAGTCCTTTGGGGAGCCCACTGATTATTTTCCTCCTTTTCTTCTTTCTTTCTCTCTCTCTCTCTCTTTCTTTCTCTCTCTCTCTCTCTCTGTCTCTCTCCTTCTTAAGGTTTGTGCCATAGGGAATGTACACTTGTTGGAGAGAAACAGAGAGTCAGTGAGAGAGAAAGTGAGAAATCACCTCCCTGGGGGGATAGCAACACTGCAATCCCTTCTCCTCCATCCCCTCCCAGGATCTTGGGCATGCATGCTTGTGTCCAGTGTGATTTTCTAGCTGCCAGATTCTGGTCTTGAACCATAGTTGGCCATGTGGGAGTCCAGTACTTTAACCACCCTGCCACCTGCTGACCCCTCTCCTTCTTTTCTATAGCCCTTCCTTTCTTCTGAGTGTCCTGCCGAATCCTTCCATTTCTCTCGTGCCTGACATTTCTTTCCCCTGGAGTGCCTTCCTTACACCTTCTGACAGTTTGACCCTCTCCTCTCCTTTCCAAGTCAGTTCTTACTTCGCCTTCTCTAAGAAGTCTTCCTGGATTTAGTGCATAGGATCTTACCACTATTCTATTCCATACCAATTTGGTGCACATGTATAAACATGGTATACTTTGATACAGGAACCCTTGCTTGATGTTCATGGCTTATTTTTTTCCCAGGTGACTTCAGTTGGAGTCTCGGGTCAAAGCCCAGCCAGGCCCAGAAAAGACCTTCCCAAGCGGTAGAGAGTTGCCCTAATGGAGTTCATAGAACCCATGTGCCATGAAGGCAGTCAGAGATGGTACAGGTGGACACGTCTGAGACAAGGATAAGGGGGCTGGGAGTGAGCAGCTGAGTTCCATGAGCCAGTGTGAGTCTCATTTATCTGCATCTGTGGTGCCTGGAGCTTCTGGGATGGGGAGCTTCCAGGCCTATGAAGGACACTGAGGGGCCAGGAAGATAATGACTGACTACATCTAGAAAATCAAAAACCAAACCAAACCAAAACATCTTGAGCTTTTAAAACATAAGACACAACAATTAAACAAAATAAAGAAACCCAGAATTAAATAATCCAATGTAGCAGTGACACTTCTTTCTGGGAAGAAGAGAAGCAGTGCTAGTAGTGCGTGCCCACCCTGAGCCTGCCCCCTGCTTTGACCAAGGTCAAGGGAGACTGAGAATGTATATCTGATGTAGTTCAAGGTTTTCCAACAGCTTCTGCACATGGCCTTTGCACGTGTGTGCAACAGCATCTGTGGCTGCCTCTCAGTGAGCCATCCTTCACAACTCACGGACTCTCCTTGGCCTCTCTGGATTTCTTTTTTCCTTCAGTTTTTGCTATAGGGTGCATGTGCTCAGGAGAGAGAGAGACAAAAGAGGAATCACACCCCAGGGAGAATGGCCGCGCGGAATCCCTTTTCCTCCATTCTCCTCTCGGGATTTTGAACATGTGCTCTGTGTGATTTTCAAGCCCCTGGGTGTGGGACTTGAACTACACAGTTGACCATGTGGGATCCAGCTGCCTTCACTTTCATGCCACCTGCTGGCCTCTTCTCTGGCTTCTTTGTGCTGCTTATACCACCGCCTCCAAGTGCCCATTGTCCCTTTTATCCAGCCTTCTACTGCAGGGCTCATTTCATCCTTATTCTCTCCTCCTCTAAGCCACCTCTTGATGGTTCCTCTCTGCCTCCTTATCTTCAACTGTCATTTTCCATCATGGCCGAGGAGATCCTAGGCTGTATGGCACAACCTTTTATAAGCTGGACCAGCGCCTCCCAAAGCATTAATAATCCGTAGAACAGCAATCCAGGATGATTCTCAAGAGAGAAAAGGGGGGTCTTCTCTCATATAAATTTATAGCTCTCCTTATAAATTGAAGATTTATGATGTCTTTTAAAGCACATTAGTGTTTTCAGGTTTCAAGATGTCCCACAATAAAGAATTTTATCATTGTTTAATCTGACATTTTCCAAACTATGGATTAACCTCATTCCTTTAAAAACTTGTGTGTACATGTGTATTCATTAACATCTTGTAGAACTGTTGTCACATTGACTTTAACAGAGTTCTCATTCTTCATTTCTGCTTATTGTCCTCTGTCATTTTAGCATCTATGTCCATTTTTGATCAAATCCTACAGCTTCATTTTTGCTCAGTCTCCTTGGCATCAAGGTCCTCCATCTCCCTACTCTGGTCATGCACATTGAAGATATTGACCCTTGATATGTCTGTTTGTGACCTTAATCCCCTACCTTTGGCCCTTTCTGATATCCCCCATTAGTGGAGAGAAGTGGATGTCAGAGGAACAAGCCATGCACATTTCCCTCTTCCTTCTGAGGCCCTCCCATTAGCATCGTGCAGTTGCTCCATTCTGCTTTTATTCGTTTGGAGTCCAGCACACGTATCACCAGCAAAGCTTTGCACAGAGCTTTCACTACACCATTACCCTGTCACTTAGCCTGTAGCTCACATCCTCACAGTCCTCTTCATTCTCTAGGGAAGCGCTCTGACGATGGTTCCATTCCTCACTTCACAGTACCCAAAATGACCCTGACCTTGTCTCCTGTTTACCTCAAGAACAATGTCCCTAAAACAGGCTGAACTTGTCCCTCTCTGTAACTTATCTTTGTTTCCTCCTCCCTCTCTGAGCTCCTCAGTCTGCCTCAGAGAAAGGCGGAGGCCCTACCCTTGCTCTGGCTTAAGGCCTTGCTCTCTTTCCAGCATGATTCTCTCCTGAGCTCATTCCTCCTCTTCCTACAATCTTCAAGGTCTTTTCCTTTCTGAAAATACTTGGCTTGATCCTGCTGCCTCCTTTTGACTCCTTATCTACACTTCCTGAAAGGAGGTGCTTACACTTTCCCAGGCTTTCTGACCTCACTCCTCCTTCCCTGGTATGCAGAACCTTCTCCTGTCATCCAGAAGCCCCCAGCCTTGATTCGGAAACTTGTGTGTCCAAGGTCAGGATGATCACTGTACGCCATCTTGGGAGGGGCAGTGTCTGCTAGCTCACCAAGCCTTCAAGTCATTTCTTGTCAATTGGAATCTCGGCTCCCTATGTTCACTTACTGTACTTGGGAGTGTTTATGGAGGGCCAGAAGGAAGACTAACAGTGGTGGTGGTGGTGAAAGACCACCCACAAATGCAGATGCTAAGGGGAAGGTCAGGAGTGTCAGAGAATCTCCCAACTTTGGGAAAACCTTCCATTTCATTCTTTCACACGTAGAAGGCAGTTGGGAGAAACGGGCCATTTCCAAGGCAAATGTGATGACAGTGGCTGTAGTACAGAAACCAGACCTAGTAGGATGGTAGGTGTGGAGATGGGGCCCAGGGCCCTACTCAGGAGGTGTATCTATTGGGGAAAAAAATCATGATGTATTTTTATATGTTTTTCTATGCAAAAATGTGTCATAAGTTCCCTGACAACCCAATATATACTTCTGTTTTGGTGGGGCACAGTGGTTGCATTGCTACTGAAAGATTTTCATCATGGTCCAATCAGTGACCTTGATCTTGTTTGATCCTTTTCTTCCTGCGGCTTTTTATGTCCTGGGGTGCTGCTTGTCAGGCCTCCCCTTTATTTGTGTGGCTTCCAGGCCCCACAGTTAGAGAGAAGTGGTACTTACGAACTCACACACAGGGAGGGCCCTGGGAAGCCCTGCCTTCCTCCTAAGAGATTCTCCTTCAGCGGCTGGAGCTTTACTGCTTTTCTTGCTCTGATGATGCTCATGTCGACTCCTCCTCCTCCTTTCATTGGACTCCCTTGTGAGGGAGATTTGTAGGGAGTCTCTGATCATGGCACAAAGGTTTTCTTTGCCACCTTAGCTTGGTTCCTCTTGAGACACCTGGTTCTGCTTTTTCATCATAGTGTACATTAATGAATAAATTTCACAATCATACAGTAAGTAGGGAATAGATATTTAGAAAACAGAGAAAAGCAAAAGAAAATAAAACCCCAGCCTTCTCATGACAACAGTAATCATCGTTTTGCTGTACGCCTTCTAGCTTTTCGTAATGTGATATTTAGAAAACATTTGTCATCTTAGCATGTGCATATGCATTTGCAGTGATTAAGACCTGGAACATCCTTATTTCCGGTAAGACTTATGCGCTCCTCCAGCAGGAGTGACAGGTGGCACCTCAGGCAGGCAGGCAGGGGTGGTTTCTTGGCTGTGTAGAAAACACTCACTGTCTGTTCTGTGAATCTAAAACCCTCCTAGCAGTGCTTTCCCTGGATGGGCACTCTAAGGCCTCCTCACCACGGAGTCAGTTCATCAGGAATGCTCCCACTCTCAGAGGTCTGCAAAGAGAAGTGGATTGATCGTTACATTGCCAGAGGACATAGCACTCGCAATGTAGTGCTTTCTCAATATGTTATCAGCACCTGCATTATCATCTCATATTTGTTGAGAGCTTTACTTCTCAAAGTGCCTCCCCATGTGCCATCTCATCAGCCTTTGCAATAACCCCGGAATACGTCCATTATTGTTTTCATCTGCCTTTTGCGACAAAGCATCAGAGAATCCAAAGACTTGCCAGTCACACATACTACCTGCATCCAGACACTCTGCCTTATCCTAAGCAGTGACCAGATTTTCCCTGGGCACTGTATTGCTACCTGATTGCTATCCAGCAATCAGAATTCTTTCTTATCTGCAGCTGACTTTCTGGCTGGTTTTCTTAAACTCCTTCCCTCCTCCCTGCAGGGGGCCGTGATAAACGAGGCGGACCCATCCTGACCTTCCCTGCTCGCAGCAATCATGACAGAATAAGACAGGAAGACCTGCGGAAACTCGTGACCTATTTGGCCAGCGTGCCAAGGTAAGGTGAAAGGGAATGGTGTGCAGGGGAGGAGGTGGAGACTGGGCTGACGCCAGTGGGTTGGAAGGAATCTCCATCCCTGCAGGCGCCCAGGAGTGGATTCCAGATATTCCTGGAACATCATTACCCATTGCTCGCCCCATTCCCATCATTCCCACGTGGCTGCTGGGATCTGTGTGAATGGAGTGGGAGCTGAAAGTGGGAACCAGGGGGAGAGGTGAGGATTCCCAGCTAAGAGGTCCAGTCCTGGGCCTGGAGAGGAGGAGAGAGAGCTGCTGTTTACCTTCATGAAATGGGAACTCTGGCTGACTTCACTCCTGCTGGTGTAATGGATTATTTCAAAACCTCTGGCTTGTGAATAGGTGCGTGGGTTTGGAGTTTGGGGTAAATGACTCTGTTTGTATCACTCAGCAAGAGGAGGCCTTGGTTCAGTCGAGGCCACACATTGTCTTGGCAGGTAATATTGCCCCCAAGGGGGTGAAAATTGGTTCTCCAGGGTAGCAAATGAATCTTACTTTCATGTATTAAACACAGCTATACATGCAGTACTGATGGAGTGTACTAAAATTTCATTGGTTGGGCGATTAGAGAAAACAATGTTCTGAAAAGGTTCCTTCAGGGCGGAGGGTGATAATGAAAAACTGTAAGAAACACTGTCCAGGCGGTGCTGGCCGTGAAGTGGGTTGAAGAACATGCCAAGGACATGGTTTATGTCTTTTAAGAAGGGGGAGAAGAGGCCTTCACCTTGTCAGAGAGTCTCAGAATGTCTAAGCTAGAAGCACTCTTAGGAGCAGTCTCGGCAAAAACATGTCCCCTTCTCAGGGAAGAGGGCTGGCGTGGAGTGAATGGCTCACAGGCATCAGTGGCAGAGGCCTGAACTCAGCCCTCCAGACCAGCCCTTTTGCTCTTCCCCTGTCCTCGCTCTTGACCAGAGAGGAGGTTGCTCTGTATCTAAAGCCTGTGACACATTTGTTGCAGTGACTAGAAGTGGTGTCTTGGATGTTTGGAACCTTCATCTTGTCTCTGTGCATTTTATAGGAGATTGAGTACATTACAGAAGGGAGCTATAGACCCAGCTCTACCTCTGCTGGGGGACCTGGATACAGTTTGAATGTGCTGATTAAGTTCTTATAGCAGGTATTGACTGAGGCGAGCATTACCTTTCAGAGAGCTATAGGAGAATTCAGGTGGTGAGGGGCAGGTGGTAAAGGGGATTTAAGAGCAGTCATCAAATGTTTGGAAGGATGTCGAATGGCATAGCAAGCGCCAAAGAGCTCTAAGCAGAAGGCTGTGAACAAACAGAAAATAGTGTCTGTTTTTGTTTTTTTTTTCCCCTTTATGACATCCACTGGAGACCAGAAAAAAGATAAAAGGTCTTAAGCTCCAGTGAAAGGGATTTGGGTTATATCTGAAGAACTTACAAACTTTGAGTGCATAAGACAATGAACTGTAGAATAGATTATTTTTTCTAGAGGTCTTTATAGAGAAGAAGTATTCCTAGCTGTCTCGGAGGCAAGGTAATAAGACTAAATAACCCATGATTGATCTAGGTAACTTAGCAATTTAACCATCTAAGAGCTAAGCAGCTTTTAAAAGCACCTCTCCCAAGTAAACTATTAACAGGCATAAAACCAGAAGCAATTTACGACTGAAGTTTTCATGGGGATCCATGATGGATTCTCAGGTCTTTTAGAGTCAGAAGGAGTTGGAATTCCTGTAAATAGAAAGGGTACATGTTTTATTTTCTGAAATAGTCATCTCTACCTTCAGCTAATACAAGCTCATCTTTTCTTCAGAATAAAAGGCAAGAGTTGGAAGGACACTTTCTGTCATTCTGATTTGTGAAGCAGAGATTAGGACAAAACAGATTGGATGCAATTAAAAAGGAAGAGGTTTCTGCTGGGGTGAATGAAGGGTAACAAAACCCAGCAGGGGCTGAGAGGATAGTCATGAAAACGAAGGAGACGCAATGCATCTTCACTGAAGGGTCCTGCTAGACAGGACTCTGCTGCTCAGCAAGTGGTCGCAGGCCTCACGTCCTGGGCAGCTGAGAAAGGGAAGGCTCTTCCCAGGCGTGAGCAGGTGGAGGCCAGAGTCCTTTTGTTATTTTCACTGGGAGGAGTTGTCTGTGATGCCAGCCACCTCCCTCCTGAGGGAGCAGAAGCCTGTGTACCTGGCAGACTGCAGTCTACCATGCAGTCACGCCACCAGTCACTTCCTGGTTCTGACGGCTGCAGGCTCACACATGATGACTGCTGGACACAAATCCGGAACAGAATGGTTCTAAAGGCAGTGGGGCTGGGGTAGGGAGGCCGAAGCATGTAGTGCAGCAGGTGGTTTGCCATGTTTCCAGGTAGCCATGGCTTTGGAAGAGGAGCTATGAAAACGAGCAGCTGGGTTATGCAGATGATACTGATGAGAAGAAATTATTTATGCTGGCTCACGTTTTGTGATGCTAAAAAGATAGGCTCCTGCTAGAGAGTGGAGCATTTTCCTTAGTTAGTGTGATCAAATCTAATAATGGTGACTTTTCCCTTTTATTTATTTAGTTTTTGAATTGTGTATTTCATTTTATTTATTGTTATTATTTTTACATTTGCTGTAGGGCATGTGCACTTACCAGAGAGAGAGAGAGAGAAAGAGAGGTAAAGTGAGAAAGTAAGCCACCGTGTCCAGGACTCGAACCACAGTTGGCACCTTTACCACCATACCACCTGCTGGCTCCAGACTTTTTCAAAGTTCATTTATTTATTCCATGAGTGAGAGATAGAGACACACACACACACAGTGCCCTCGAGACCCAGCAGTCTTGTCACTGATTCACTCCCAGCCTTAGCCACCCCAGATTGTAGGCACACGTGTACCCTGCATACTCAGGGAGGTTTTCACACACAAACAGGAAATCCTTCCCTGTGGGTCTGCCTCATGGAGCATCACGTTTCATCACTGCTCCATTATCTCCCCCTTAAATGGTGACATTTAATTTTCATTCAGTCATGTATTTATTAATTTTTTTGGAGAGATTTTTGTTAAAGGGCATGTGAGCTCGCCAGAAAGACAGAGAGAGAGAGAGAGAGAGAGAGAGAGAGAGCGAGAAATCACCCCCCAGGGGGGGTGGACACACCGCAGTCCCTTCTCCTCCATTCTCCTCTCAGGATCTTGGGCACGCACACACACGCACCCAGCATGAGTTTAAGCTGCTGGGTCTGGGACGCGAACAGTGGTTGACTACATGGGAGTCCAGTGACATAGCCATTATGCCAACTGCTGGTTCTGCATTTATTATTTAGGTAAAAAATATTGGTTTGTTGGAAAAGTTATGAGGCATTTTTCCATAGAAAAACAGATCATGGCTTTTCCAACAACCCAATATTTAAGACTCTATATGCCAGGTAGATTGAGGATATTTGTTGAACAGGAACAGCCATTTTAAAAAAGTTAGGCAAAATGTGAAAATTTCTCTACCCCATGCCAAACCAGCCGTGGTAAAAGGTAGCCCAGGATGTGCGAGAAATCACCCCCCAGGGGGGATGGCCACACCGCAGTCCCTTCTCCTCCATTCTCCTCTCAGGATCTTGGGCACGCACACACACGCACCCAGCATGAGTTTAAGCTGCTGGGTCTGGGACGCGAACAGTGGTTGACTACATGGGAGTCCAGTGACATAGCCATTATGCCAACTGCTGGTTCTGCATTTATTATTTAGGTAAAAAATATTGGTTTGTTGGAAAAGTTATGAGGCATTTTTCCATAGAAAAACAGATCATGGCTTTTCCAACAACCCAATATTTAAGACTCTATATGCCAGGTAGATTGAGGATATTTGTTGAACAGGAACAGCCATTTTAAAAAAGTTAGGCAAAATGTGAAAATTTCTCTACCCCATGCCAAACCAGCCGTGGTAAAAGGTAGCCCAGGATGTGACTGTACAGGTAACATGGGAGATGAACCAGTCATCAGAAGACAAACAAATAAGGACAACCAAATGATGAAAGAGGAACTGTAAGGACCTAGCCAGTGTTATGGCCATTTTGGTCACCATTCTAGAATAGATGATGAAACAGTGGTGATAGTTGGGGAATGAATAGGAAGAAATAGTCCCACTCTTCCCCCTGCAGGTTAGGCATGTCTGGACCACTGTGTCCAGTTCTGCAGCATTTAACTTGTCCTCTCCAGTTTAAACACTGCATAGACCAGTTAGAGTACTGTCAAGAAAGAGCGCTTTGAGGCACCTACTTGCTCTGTCTCTGCAGTTGAAAGAATGAGGTATGCTAGCTGGAAGACTGGAAGATGGAAGGAAAAGTAATTCCTGATGTCAGATGACTGGAGAGCTATGCCCAAAAAGTGGAACAGGCCTGGTCTCTATTGCGTCAGTGGGTGGCAGTTAAAGATGCTGACTCAGGCTTGAAGAAAGGGCCTGCCTAGAAGGGAGCTGTCCAGCAGCAATGCGGCTGCCTCTGGAGAACATGAGTTTCCTCTTGCCAGAGAAGAGATGGCCCTCTGTTCTGGATGCTGAAGAAAGATTTCCTGTACTGAGTTGGTGGAATTAGGTCATTTCCATGAATGCTAGGTTTCTTTGACCTTGGAAAAAGCATGCAGCATAAAGTGCAGAACCTCAAAACAGTATTACCACCCCTACCAGCATACACACCCCCTTCTCAGGTTCCTTCAATAAGTTAAAGCCTGGAATTTCGCATAAGATCTTGTTCATACCTTAAATTGTAAGAGAATTGCTTAGACTCTGGGTGGGAATTCTGGACCATTACCTGAGACCGGAATTTTGGACCATTACCTGAGACCCAGGACCATGGGTTGTGATAGTCCAGATCAGTCCTCAGTTACTGTTTCAGGATTCATCTCAGCATAAGGTGAGTCCCTTCTAACTCCCCTAGTTGGCTCCTGATTAACTTTATTCTTAATGCTCTGCAGGCTTTCTATAATCTTATTCTGAGGAATCATAGAATATCAGAGAAAAATGAGACATTACGAGTCTTCTAATT